TTGAAAATAGGGTTCTTACATTTATTGATTTTAATCTGCTAAATAATAAATATCAATTATTTTATTAATTATCAGCTATTTTTGCATTTTTATCAAGGTTTCTACTGAACTATCAAACAAACAACAACTCAAACAGCAACTCAAAACCGAGTCTTAGTACTATTTTCCGAATAGCAATTCAAATACTTCATTTCAGCAACTCTTTTTTTAAGGTAATAGTAGGTAAACAAATCTAGGAGGACAACGGGGAAGACTCAAGCAAGACCAATATTCATCTAAGCAAAGAAAAATGGATAAACACTTAATGCTGATGGACAAAAATAGCAGCAAACACCTAAACAAAGAGCCTAACCAAATAAGAAATAGAACAACTAAAAGAATAGGAGTGAGGCATGGAGGAGACAGGTTCAACAACAGGTAGAAAACAATACAAATTAAACAAATGAAAAAGAATGCTAACAACTTCAATCCTAGTTCTAGATCGAATATGCCATCCTCAAAGCAGAACCAATCAATACCCAGCACAGATGAACCTCATTGACTTAATTTTGTCCATTCAATACAATCATCATAGCAAATCTAAATAACACAGTAAAGATGATATGGAAAAGCAAATATCAGAAGCAAAAAGCAACATCAGGAAAATGTAAAATATCATAAAGTGAGCAACGGGACAGGGGCGGCCCAGCAGAATCAGATCTGGTTGACCCATCCTAGCCACACTGTCCCCTAAGTACTTCAATCCAGAGAGACTCGATGAAAAATTAAAGGAAAATAGAAACAGACTTTGGCTTCCCTTTTTTTTTTTTTCAAGGCAAAAACCCTACATTTAACACCTCAACTAAAAAAATAAGAGCAAATAAATTAAACTAAAAAAATAAATCCTCCAATTGCACAACCTAAGCCCTTAAAAGAACAAACGGAATTAGAAGTGTTTAATGGAGTTACCTAACAGAGATTGGAGGTCAGATCTGGACCTTGAGAGTAGAGTCTAAACTGCTGAATGATGCTGGAATCCGATCTGACATTAAAACACAATCAGGCAGTCGATAAATATATTTTTAAGTAATAAAAGACAAAAAATATATATATATATATATTATGAACTATGAAGTGAAAAAAAATAAAAATAAAAATCAGGCAGTCGATATTGGTTGTTTATGCAGACAAATCACAATCAGAAAATGAGAAAAACAACCAAACAATAAACAGATCTAAAAGAAGCAAGATCTCATTCTCATAAAATCTATTTTCTTGTGAATAGTATTTTCGGGAACAAATTGATTCGGGGAAAACTCAGTTAAGGAGTGTATCAGAAAAAAAATGAATCCACATAGGAATTCTTAGCTTCCTAGAGAATGAAAGGTAGAAAAAAGAAATGAAAGAAAACATACAGAAAACGATTCGATGAAGTCGAAAGAAGAGACAAAATTCTGCGGAACCCTAGCCCAGGGCTGGAACAACGGCAGAGAGGCGACTGCGAGCTGTTTAGCGAGGTTTTATAGAGCGCAAGCCCTAGAAATTTTAGGATTTCTTCGGTTATTACGATAATAACCTTGGCGTTCTTATTTAATTACAGGGCATTATGGACTGGCAAAATTTATTTATTTATGATTTTTCTAATCGTGTGGTCATGAGGTACAGATTAATAGAAAAATTTTAATATTAATTGTTATTACAAATAAATTTTGATATTTATTTAATTAAAATAATATATGTAATATTAATAATAAAATTAATATTAATATTTGTTATTTTTATATTAATTAATATAAAAAATATATTAATTATTCTTTTAACTTTTTTCTTATGACAAATGTTAGATAAACTTATTTATTAATGGTTGTTTAACCTGTACAATTTAAAAGTGTATTTTTTTTTATGAAAATGTTAAGATTGTTACTAAATATATGTTTTATGCATATATTTACATGGAAAAGTGAAAAACTAA